TGAGATGGTTGCTGCGAGGCTCAGCCAAGGCACTCTTGCTGCTTCACTGTGTTAGATGGCTGGTTTTATCCCTCCAATTCAGGGTGGGTCTCTGTCAGAGCCAGGGCCCCTCATGGGTGGTCTTTGGACATGTGAGGGCAAGTCAGACAGGTGGGTGCAGTGGAGGTGGGGATGATCTCACCTGGAGCTTTGAGGAGGTGGGGAAGGACTGATGTTTGAAGCTCCCTAAAGGTTCCCTCCCCTCTCAGGAGTCCATCCTGAAAGGGCGCTTTGCCCCGTCGGGGAGGATCGAGGGTTTCACGGCCGAGATTGGTGCCAGTGGCTCCTACTGTCCCCAGCATGTCACCCTGCCTGTCGACGTCACCTACTTCGACATCTCCGAACACAGCGTGCCCTCGCCTTTCCTGGTGCGTGGATGAGGGAGGGCTGGCACTCTGCGGGGTGGGGGGGGATGAGGGGGACTGTACCTGGCCCCCGAGGCACCCTGGGCACGGCCCCTCTGCGGAGAGCGTGGCTCAATCAACCACCTACCTGTGCAGATGACTGTCTGTGCCAGGAGCAGTCTTTAACCCAAAAAGCAAAGAGGGAAATAAAGAGAGCATGTGCATAGGCAGGCTGCTGCCCCGATGCCTCATGGTTGTGGCTTCACTGTCACCTCCTCTCTGTCGCTGCTTGTTCATTCCCTGGTTTGGAGAGGAACTGAGCTAAGCGTCTTCTTGCTGACTTGTGCCAGGTGTTCCCAGAAAAGGGGGGTGGGGCCCAACCTCGTGGTGCGTCCCAACTGGGCTCTCCCGGGGCTTTCTTCCTCTCTCACGTGCTGTTTCTTTTGCCTCAGGGAGTGATTGACTTGGAGGCCTTGGGAAAGAAGGGTTACAGTGTCCCCAAAGCTGGAACCATCCAAGTGGTGAGTCATTCCCTGACCTCCAGGAGCACCATGGGGACAGGGCTGGGTGGGCTCTGGTTATCCTTCACTGGGCTGGGTATGCACCATTATGTTGTTAGGCAACAGAAAGCTTGTGCAGAGGGGGTACATGGCCACCAAGACAGCACAGCAGAGTGGAGCATGAGGTCCCAGGGGTGCCAGGTGGTGGGAGGTGCAGGGAAGGAAGAGATTGGTGAGGAGAGATGGGAAAAGAGTGTGTACATGCAGTGGGGATGGGATGGGATGGGATGGGATGGGATGGGATGGGATGGGATGGGATGGGATGGGATGGGATGGGATGGGATGGGATGGGATGGGATGTGTGGAGGTGGGTGCAAAAGACTGACCTCTGACCTCCAGGCTAAGCCCTCTGGGGCTGGTGTGGGGCTTTCTGGATCGTTGGGTCGGCTGCTTCTGCTCCCAGGTGCCCCATCCCTTCTCTACAGATCCATCTGTCGATTTTCCCAGTCTCACTCCCTACCCCTCTGCCCCCAGACCTTATTTAACCCCAACAAGACTGTGGTGAAGATGTTCTTGGTGACGTACGACTTCCAGGACATGCCAGCCAACCACATGACCTTCCTACGCCATCGCATCTTCCTGGTGCCCGTGGGGGAGGAGGAGGGGGCCACCACGGCCTCCAGCGACCCACTGGGCACCAGTCCACCCCGCAGGGTCCTCTGCTACCTGATGCATCTGAGGTAAAGCACCTGCCCCAGGGTCATCCCTGGGCTCCTCTCCCAAGTGTCCCTAGCCTGCTGCACCAGAGGAAAGGTGGCAGCCTGACCCTGCCACCCTGGGGAAGAGCAGGGACCAGCTGCTCCTCCAGGGAGGTTGGAGCTGCCACCCTGCCCAAGGGCAGCTGTCTCTGTCCCTCCTGAAAGCAACCAGAGCGTGGCCACCTTGACCAGAGGCCAGAGAAGTCAAGGGGGTTGTGACGTGCACTGAGGCTGCCCTGCCGTTGTCTGGGAGCCTGAGGTCCCTCCACCCTGCTTTTGTCTCTGTGCAGGTTTCACAGCTCCAAGTCAGGGAAGATCTACCTTCATGACGACATTCGGCTGCTTTTCTCCCGCAAGTCGATCGAGGTGGATTCGGGGATCCCCTACGAACTGAAATCTTTCACAGAGATGCCCAGGAACCCCTGCTACTCGCCCCGGGCCTGACCTTCCTCACCCCCCAGGGCTGCTGGGGAGACTCCAGCCCAGCAGTCTGGGGAGAGATGAGTAACAGGCCAGCAAGCAAACACTGCTTTGAGACATTGCACATCCTCCCGATCAGCACGGACACCACACCCTGCAGCAGGGCTGGGATCACCCAGGGGGCTTTACCCAGAGGGGTAGGGGCTGGGGAGCAGCCCTAGCACTGCAGGGACATGCCCAAGCCTCCTGCTGGTGCTGCTCCCAGCTTGGAGACTTGTCTGTGGCTGAGGTGGATGGGAAGTGAAGAGTTGGGCCTGGGCTCTGGGTAAGACTTACCCACACTGGTCCTGGGGCTGGGAGCAGAAAGTGTGGAAGAGTTTGTATTTATTAGTATTTATTGTTGCTGGGAGCGCAGAGGAGGCTCGTGCATAGGACCTGAGGTGCTGTGCTTGTTCTTCCCCCTCACCCTACCAGCACAGGGCTGCCCCTGTTGGGGCAGGGCTGTGGGAACTGGGAGGGTGACTGGGGAAGGGAGAGTGATCCACCTCTTGGCCAGGGTGCAGCTCCCAGGCCAAGGCTATGTTTGTTAAAAGACTGGGAGAGACTGGGCCTTGCTGGGCACCAGCTAGGTGGGGCCAGCCCCACTCCAAGCAATCCTCTGACTCCTTTAGGGCAAGGCAGACCCCATGCGGTCTGTGGCAGTCAGGGAAGTGGCCATTGCCCTGGTTCCTAAGGTTCAGAGACACGGCTGTCACGTGGATGGGGATCTGGGGCTCTTTGCAGAAGCATTGGGGATAGCCCTCTCTGGGCAAGAGCCTCCAGAGCACGTGCGCCGCGGATCTGAGAAGATTGCCAAAAAAAAGGAGACTTGCACCATCTGCAGGTGTGGGGCCAATCCCATCCAGGAGGCAGTTTTGGGCGGGGGTGTGCCAGCAGCACCATGAGGGTCTGGAGGATGAGCAGCAGCTCAGTCCCTGGGAAGAGGGGAAGGAGCAGGGACATCAAACTCTGGGGCCTGGGCTGGGCTGGGCCCTCAGGAGGAGGTCTGGGGGTGACCTGGAGCACTCTGGGGAGCTGCAGGCCAAGCCCAGGGAGGGGAGAGGGGCAGGGGTGAGAGGGTAAAACAAGCTGGAACATACCCTGTGTGTATCCCCCCTCTGTCCTGGAGTCTCTGCAAGCCTCCCCCCTGCTAGCCCGGGCTGGGGGACACCCCCCCAGACCCAGACACGTCCCCCACCGGCTCCCCGGGCCCTCCTGGGATCCCGTCGCTTCCCACGGATCCCGGGCTGGGGCGTGGGGATGGGCCGGGACAAGGGGAGGTTTGAGGGGGAGGTTCTGCTCTCCCCTGCCGCAGGCTGGGAGGAGAGTGGGGGCCTGAACCCCCTCACCCACACGGCGAGGTTCTGAACCCCCTCCCCCTGGGGCTGCTCCCCCACACCCGGGGCCCTAACCCTCCACTCCAAGGGACTGACCCCCCAAACAGCGGGGGACTGAACCCCCCAAACACCGGGGGACTGACTCCCCAAACAGCGGGGGACTGAACCCCCAAACACCAGGGGACTGACCCCCCCCAAACACCGGGGTCTGACCCCCCCAAACACCAGGGGACTGACCCCCCCCAAACACCGGGGTCTGACCCCCCCCAAACACCGGGGGACTGAACCCCCCAAACACCGGGGTCTGACCCCCAAACACTGGGGACTGAACCCCCAAACACCAGGGGACTGAACCCCCAAACAGCGGGCCTGCCTCCCCCCTCGCGGGCGCCGGGGGCCGCCATGACACCCACCCCCTCGCCCCCACGACATCGGGGCTGCCCTTTACGCCGCGGGGGTCGCGAAGGCCGTGCCGGTGTTTTTTTTTTCGTGTTCGTTTCTATTTTAATAAACGACCGTTTGGAGCCCGAGAACAAGCCCGGTGCTGCCGCTACTGAGGGGGTGGTGCTGGGTTGGGGGGGCGGAACTGCGGGCGGCCGGAACGGGAGGGCGCGGGCGGCGGGGCCGGCCGGGCGGCGCACCCGGAAGCGGGGCGGTGCGGGGCCTGGCGGGGTGCGGGAGCGGCGGCGGCAGGGGCCGAGCGGGGCGGCAGGGCCGAGCGGAGATGCTGTCGCGGGCGGGCTGCGGGCCCGGGCCGGCCTCGGGCCGCTGCAGGTGCGGGGAGTGACGGGAGGAAGGGGGATGGCGGGTTGCCCACGTGGGGAGTGCCCGGGTGCTGGAGGGGCCGGGGTGGGGCGGGTGGAATATGGGTGGTCTGGGCTGGGTGCGCCGGGCTGAGGAGAGAGGGGGTGTTGGGGGTGTGGGAGGGTGCTGGGCGAGAGTAGGGGTGCGAGGGCAGGGGGGGTGCACGGGAGGGATGGGTGCGGGGGGTGTTGGGGTCCCCTGAAGTGTTGGGGTCGTGGAGGGTCTGCAGGGGGAGCTGGGCAGGGATGAGGGAAGGGGGTGGTTCTGTAGGTCACAGAGGACAGGAGGTATTGAGGGGGCTCACTGGGGTGGTGATGGGGCTCGGGGAAGTGCTGGGGGTGTGAGGGGGTCTGCAGAGGAGCTGGGCAGGGACGGGGGTGAGGGCCGGGGTGCAGGGGAGGCTTGGGGGAGCATTGGGGGTCTGGGTTGGTGCTGGGGAGCTGGGCAGGGATATAGGGGTGTAGGGTAAGGAGGTGAGGGGGGTGGTGGAGAGGGCAAATGGGTGTGGGGGGACTGAGGAGGTGGAGTGTCGGTGGTGTTGGGGTTTGGGTGGGAGCTGGCCCGGGAAGGGGGGTGCAGAGGACAAGTGGGTACAGGGGGACTGAGGGGGGTGGCTCAGTGGAGGGGGTGTTGGGGGTCTGGGGAAGTGCTCATGTGGTGGTGGGGTGCTGAGGGACAGGTTATTGAAGAGGGGTGGCCTGAGACTGAGATGACAGAGAGGGCTGGGGGGAACAGGCCTCACCAGGTTATAGGGGGCTGATGGGGCAGAAGAGACACACACACACACCCCTTCCTTGCCCCACACATACCTTCCTTGCCCTTATGGTGGCAGGGAGGCTTTACTGCCTATTCCAGGGGGGATGTGAGAGGAGGTGTGCAGAAAGCTCTGGCATGGGAGTGAGCTGCCCTGCACTGTGGAGAAGGCTGTCCCTGTGGCCCTGGCCTCATCCTTGTGGCAGCAGCTGTGTCCTCTTAGAGAATGGGTTTGTTTGGGGCATCAGAGCTGCTTCCTGCCCTGGAGCGCTGCCCACGATCCCGGAGAGCAGAGCAGGTGTAGTGCTGGTCTCAGTCCCGTTCCTTCTCCGTTCCCCAGCACTCCCAGCAGCTGAAGGGAGCGGCACGGCTGGCCCCGGCTCCGTGCCGCTGGAACTCCGGGCTGCCCGTCAACATCGGGGTGCTCTTCGTGCCCCAGCAGGAGGCCTGGGTGGTGGAGAGGATGGGCAAGTTCCACCGAATCCTCGAGCCTGTAAGGAGCAGCTTTTCTCCCCTTCTGGATTCAGCAGGTTCCTAAAGCTGTAGCGAGGCGCGTCCTTTGCGCGAGGATCCGAGGGGTGGTGGGCTCGTTCTCCTGGGCTGAAATCCTCTTGGCTGCCTGTGAACTCATTTCCCTTGGTGGGGGTGTTGAAAGCACTGAGAAACCAAAATTCCCTCTGTGTGTGAAGTGTGCTCGCTCTGCCTGCAGCATCTGTAGTGTGTGGCGTGGTCTTTGTTTGCACAGTTCTCCCTAGTCTGATTGTCACCCATCTAATCCTGCCCTCTTCCCAGGGCTTGAACTTCCTAATCCCTTTCCTGGATCGGATTCGTTATGTGCAGAGTCTCAAAGAAATCGTCATCAACGTCCCAGAGCAGTCAGCTGTCACACTGGGTGAGGAACAGCTTACATGTCTTGCCCCTTCCCTTCTGCTGCATCTGGGGTGAGCAAGGGGCAGTGTGGGGAGGAGTGGAATTGACTCAGGCTCCTGCATTCAGCCCCATCTCTTGACACCCAGACTTGGGCATAAAATCACAGGATGGCTGGATTGCAAAGGGCCTTAAAGATCACATTATTCCAACTCCCCTGCCATAGGCAGGAACACCTTCCACTAGACCAGATTGCTCAGGGTCCCATCTAGCCTGGCCTTGAACACTGTCAGGGATGGGGCATCCACAGCTTCCCTGGGCAACCTGTGCCAGTGCCTCACAGCACTTACAGTAAAGACTTTTTTCCTAATATCTAACCTAAACTGCCCTCCATCAGCTTAAGGCCATTTTCCCTTGTCCTGTCACTCCATAGCCATGTAAAAAGTCCCTCTTCAGCTCTCTTGCATCTCCTTTCCAGCACCTTTAGGTGCTGGAAGGCTGCTGCTGTAAGCAGGGGGCACCCCAGGAGGTCCTGCAGCTGCCCTTTGCTGGGTTGAATGCACCTGACCAGGAACACATTTTTCAGATGTCTTCTTTTACTGAACCACAAAAAAAACCCCAAAAAACACCTCTGTAAAAAAGATTTTAGATCAGGTTAATGGATCTAATGCTAATGGACAGCCATTACATTTCTAGTTTCCAATGTTTTGTTTCATTTTTTCCCCCCTTACATCTTTATTTACAAGAACTACAGTGTGAAATGTTTCTATTTGGAAACCCGAGACTTGTTTTGTATTAAAACATTGTAGTGTTTTTCTGGGGAATGTTAAAGTCATTTTTACAAAGTCTTTAGACGAGGAGATCCATTTCAGCCAATCCTTCTGTGCCATGCTGCTATAAAAGGAAGGAAAGGGGCAACCCTGCCCAGCTGTGTTGTGGAAGAGAGGGTTGTCCACGTTTTTTCTTTACTGCTTCAGTAAACAGGAGCTGTTGTTCTCTCCTGGCAGATAATGTCACCCTGCAGATCGATGGTGTTCTCTACCTGCGGGTTATGGACCCCTACAAGGTACCATCCCTGCCCCTCAGGCACCTCTCTCCTGGCTCTGCCTGCTCCCTGCTCCCCAAAATGTGTGCTTTAGCCTCTGTGCCCTGCCTGGTGGGTGGGCTTAGCACCCTGACCCCTCCTGAGGCTCCAGACTCCATGTTTTTGGCAGGGATGTTTTGTTTTGTTGTCGTGTTTGTCCCTCCTGCCTCCTTCAGGGTCCCTCTTGGCACCCCTATCCACTCTGTTTTGTGCTTCTGCTCTCCAGGCCAGCTATGGGGTGGAAGATCCTGAGTATGCAGTGACCCAGCTGGCCCAGACCACCATGAGATCTGAACTTGGCAAACTCTCCCTCGACAGAGTCTTCCGGGTGAGCTGGGGAGGTAGATCATGGAGCTGCCAACTTCTCTGGAGGCCCTGGGGCAGCCTGCCCCAAGCTGATACACTTACCAGCAAAATGGCCTTTGCTGAGAGGGCTTCTGGCTTCTGTTTCAGTTGACGTATTGGTGAATCCATGGAGATGGGTCTTGTTTCCATTGTTTTTTTAACAGGAGCTATTTTTTGCCCTGCCCTGGGTTGTCTGGAAGGGGTGATGGGTGGTGTGTGCCCGGACCTGGCTGGTCCACCTGCGTTTCTCTTGAGCTGGTGATTTGTTGCTCAGACTCAGTGATGAATGTCCCTGACCTGGTTCATGGGGTGCCCTAATCCTTGTGCTGTGTTTGCTGGGCAAAACCTGAAGGTGTTGGCATTCCTGTTGTGTCCAGATGTACACTGGATGTTTGTATGCCATCAGTTTCAGTTGGGGGCCCTGTTCTCCCTAGGAGATGGTGACCCCTTCAAGAGCTGCGGGAAAACACCTGACCCTGCCTGATGCCTTTGGAGATGTTATTTTTCTGTCACATCTTGGCCTGTGCCAGGGGGTGTCTGTTTCCCTCCTGACACTGTCTCATGCTAAGCACCTCTTCTCTGCTCTCTGCCGTTTCCTTTGTGCCTCCCAGGAGCGGGAGTCCCTCAATGCCAGCATTGTGGATGCCATCAACCAGGCTTCAGACTGCTGGGGCATCCGATGCTTGCGCTACGAGATCAAGGACATCCACGTGCCTCCACGTGTGAAGGAATCCATGCAGATGCAGGTGTGGCTCTGTGGGAGGGAGGTCTGGAACAAGAGGGAAATCTCCTCTTCCACACAGCTTCATCGTTACCTGTCCACAGCTGGCAGCACCGGCTCTTCCTGTGTGAGGGGCACTTTGGTTGCAGACATGCAGTTAGTGAACTGAATGAATAATTCCTGTCCTAATTTTGGCCGTGGTGGCCCCTGCCTGGTACACCCAAGCCTTACCAGCTCCCTGTAAAATCCCTACTGGGCTTTGTAGGGAAGAAAATCCCTATAGCTGAAGGTCTCTCCTTGGGAAAAACTGGGCACGAGATCTCCAGGCTGGAAGGGAAGGAGGGGGAAGCAACTGTCCAGTTGGGCGTGGATGGGGCTGGGGCGGGCTGTGAGGCCTGAGGAGCAGAAATAGCCCTCAGCAGGACCATGCAGTGTTCTGCAGCTGCATTCGTATGCTTTGCTGAGCCATGCCTGCCCCTCTGGGACCCGGGAGTGTGTCCTTGCCCCAGTGCAGTCATGGCAGGCTGGTGTCTGACCTGTGTTTGCAGGTGGAGGCGGAGCGGCGGAAGCGGGCGACGGTGCTGGAGTCGGAGGGGACGCGGGAATCTGCCATCAACGTGGCTGAGGGCCAGAAGCAGGCCCAGATCCTGGCGTCAGAAGCTGAGAAGGCTGAACAAATCAACAAAGCTGCTGGTAATGCCTTAGGGTAGAACATGTGGGGATCTGTAGCCATCTGGACGGAGGGGTGATGCTGCTGGGGAGAGACCACATCACTGTGGGCCAGGTGTCCTGAGCCGTGCTGGTTCTTCCTTGCTGAGGCCTTTGTGCTGAGCTCCAGCTCGTGCTGCTGCCCCGCCACAGCCTTGGGCAGCAGGAGGTGTGTGGCAGTGCTGCTGTTGGGGAAGAGAAGACTATGCATGCATGGACTTGTCTGGATTCACTCCTTGAAATTTTCTGGATTTGCTCCTGGCAAGTGCTTTGTGGCAGTTCTGACATGTGCTCTGCTGTGGTTCCTTGCAGGAGAAGCCAATGCCATGCTGGTCAAGGCCCGGGCCAAGGCAGAGGCAATACAACTCCTGGCAGCTGCTCTGTCACAGCAGGTGAGTGACAGCTCCTTGGGGCAGCCACTGCCTTGATGCCGGCACGGGGGGAGGTGACACATGGCTGGGGTGGCACGTGGCTTTCTCCTGGATGCTCCCTGGCATTTTCAGCAGCAGGGAATGAGGATCTTTGCTGTCCCAGCTGGAGTGGGCTGCGGTTATGGGCATGGATGAGCTCTTGGTGATACATGACTCATCCCTCTCTCCCCAGCACGGCAGTGCTGCTGCCTCCCTGTCTGTGGCAGAGCAGTATGTGAACGCCTTCTCCAAGATTGCCAAAGACTCCAACACCGTCCTGCTGCCCGCCAACACCGGCGACGTCACCAACATGGTGGCACAGGTCAGTTGGTCACTCATGTCCCGGGCTGATCCAAAGCAGAGTGGGCAGCAGGTCAAGGGAGGGAATTCTGTCCCTCTGTTCTGCTCTCGTGAGACCCACCGGGAGCACTGCATCCAGCTCTGGGATCCCCAGCACAGGAAGGACATGGACCTGTTGGAGTGAGTCCAGAGGAGACCACCAAGATGCTTAGAGGGATGGAGCACTTCCCCTGTGAGGAAAGGCTGAGAGAACTGGGATTGTTTAGCCTAGAGAAGAGGAGGCTCCAGAGAGAGCCTTCCAATACCTAAAGGGGGCTTACAGTAAGGATGGAGAGGGACTTGTACAAGGGCACCTAGGGATAGGACAAGGGGGAATGGCTTCAAACTGAAAGAGAGTAGGTTTAGATTAAATACTAAGAAGAAATTACTTACTAGGAGTGTGATGAGGCACTGGCACAGGTTGCCCAGAGAAACTGTGGATGCCCCATCACTGAGGTGTTCAAGGCCAGGTTGGATGGGGCTTTGAGCAGCCTGGTCTAGTGAAAGGTGTCCCTGCCCAACCCCCAGAGGGGTTGGAACAAGATGATCTTTGAGGTCTCTTCCAAGGTTAAACCCTGTGGTGATTCTTGCCCCAGGGAGGTGAAGGTGGCAGCGTGCTGGGACCTGACCCTCTCCTCTCCTCCCCTCCTCATGACTGTCTGGTTCCCTCCAGGCCCTGGGGATATACACCACACTGACCAAGCCACAAGCTGTGAAGAACCAGGACGAGACTCCCCCAGCCCACGAGGAGCCCCAACCTGCCTCCATGGAGATGCTGAAGGCAGAGCAGGGCAGCTCCAGCTAACGGGGCTGGAAGGATCCCGCTCCCTGTCCCGAGGTCTGCTCCGCAAATGGCAGCCCTGTCCTGCCACGGTCAGATGCTCTTCTTCCCTTAGTCCCTATTTTGTATTTGGATTTAAATCATGTAATAAATGGTACCGGTGCTGCTGCAGCACGTTCCCTTGTGCTCGGGGGCCTGACCCTACCCTCTGATGCCAGAGGGGGACCATCCATGCTCAACAGTCTCCTGCCAGGAGCTCCCATGGACACGCAGTCATCTGCAAGAGGAAAAAAATTGGAAATTAGGAAGAAATTCTTTACTTTGAGGGTGGTGAGGCACTGGCAGAGGTTGCCCAGAGAAGCCGTGGGTTCCCCATCCCTGGAAGTGTTCAAGACCAGACTGGATGGGGTATTTGAATGGTCTAGTGGGAGGTGACTGTGCCCACAGCAAGGGGGTTTGGAACAAGATAATCTTTAAGGTCCTTTGCAACCTAAACCGTTTTATGATTCTGTGAACTTCAGGACTCTGCTCTTGGGAAGGATGCCTTTCCCAGGGAGAACCCTCTGGGAATGTGAGCTCCTGTCACTGTCCCCTCCTCTGTCATCTCTCAGAAGCTGCCCCTACAACACACGAGAGTTCGTTCTCCGCAGAGGGCTCCTCACAGCGCGCACCGCAGGGCGGGGAAAGTCTCTGCAGATTAATTAATTAACTGACTAATTAAAATCCACCTCTGGCCTGCTCGGGGTGCCTTGCCGGGAGGGAGGCGCGTGCGCGGGTTGGGCCTCCCGGCCGCCAGAGGGCGCTGCCGCCCCCCCGCCTCGGCACGGTGCCGCTCTAGCGCGGCGGGCGCCACGCGCGGCGCTTCCGGGGGCGGCGGTCGGCGGGGACCGCAGGTGGGGAGGGAGCGGAGCGGGGTCGGGGTGCGGGGGCTCTGGGGAGCAGAGCGGGGTCAGGGGGTGCGGGGGCTCTGAGGAGCAGAGGCGGGGGTCGGGAGTGCAGGGCCAGGGGAGCGGAGGTCGGGGGTGGGGGCTCTGGGGAGCAGAGCAGGGGTCGGGGGAGTGCGGGGGCTCTGAGGGAGCAGAGCGGGGTCGGGAGTGCAGGGGCTCTGGGGAGCGGAGCGGGGTCGGGGTGCGGGGGCTCTGGGGAGCGGAGCGGGGCCGGGGGGCGCGGGGGCTCTGAGGGAGCGGGTAGGCTTGGGGGCACAGGGGGCTCTGAGGGAGCGGGAGCGGGCCGGGGGCTGCGAAGGTGAGCGGAGCAGGGGCGGGGGCTCTGAGGGGCCAGAGGGGACTCTGAGGGTGCGCCAGGCACCAGGGCGGCTCGAGTGTGAGGTGGCGCGGCGGAGTGCCGGCGAGGACCTGGGGTTGTCAGAGAAGGGTCTGGTCTGTGTGAAGGGAACTGGGGGTGTCAGGGCGACGCCCTGGGGGGCATGAGCGGGGCTGAGGGCCTGTGAGGGGGGCTGGAGGTGTCAGAGAGAGGGGCCGGGGGGGCGCTGGGCAGCCGGTAGGGAGCTGGACACGGCTCCCCTGAGGGAGGCCACGGGGAGGTGCACAGGATGGTTGTCGGGACATGGTGTGGCGCCGGTTAAAGGGCTGTGTTGGGGCTGACGGGGGGTTTGTGGGGGAGAGGTGGGTGTGAGGGGTGTCGGGCCAGCGGTGGGTGCTGGCAGGGAGTGGTGCCCGGCCCCTGTAGAGCAGCCGTGGCCTGAGCCTGCCTGTCCTTCCCTCTAGGATGCAGCGGTGGCCAGTGGTGCTCTTCCTGGCCTGGGTTTGCTTTCTCTTTTTCGCCGGCATCGGGCTCTTCATGAGCGGCTTCTTGCTCACCCGGATCGAGCTCGCCAGCAGCAGCTCCTGCTCCGACCCGCTCGTGCCGCCGCCCTGGGAGGGGCAGAGCCTCCCGCCGGGCTCCTGCTGGGCGCCCCAGCGCTTCTCCAAGGCCGTGCTCGTCATCATCGACGCCCTGCGCTTCGAGTTCGCCCGCTTCGACCCCGGCAAGGCCAGCCCGCTGCCCTACGAGAACAAGCTGGGGGTGCTGCACCAGCTGGCCACCTCGCAGCCCCGGCACGCCCGGCTCTACCGCTTCCGGGCCGACCCCCCCACCGCCACCATGCAGCGCATCAAGGGCCTCACCACCGGCTCACTGCCCACCTTCATTGACGTGGGCAGCAACTTCGCCTCCTACGCCATCCAGGAGGACAACCTGCTGGCACAGCTGGTGCAGAATGGTGGGTTCCCGGCCTTGGGCTGAGGCAGGGGACAGTCAGATGTTAGAAACGGGGTTTTTTCCACTGTTAGAGTGGTCAGGTTGCCCAGGCAGGTGGTGGAGTCACCATGTCTGGAGGGGTATTTAGGGAGCATCTGGATCTCGCACTGGGTTTAGTGGTTTAGGGGTTACAGTGGTAAGTGGATGGTTGGATTGGATGATGTTGAAGGTCTCTTCCAACCTTGATGATTTGATGACTGGGACTGTTCAGCCTGGAGAAGGCTGCAGGGAGACCTATGTGGCAACCCTCCAGTGTTTGTAGGAGGCCTGCAGGGAAGCTGGAGACGGACTCTTTTTAAGGAGCTGTAGTGATAGGACAAGGAGTAATAGGTACAAATTGACAGAGGAGAAATTTAGGTTAGATAATAGGAAGAAGTTCTTCATTATGACAGTGGTGAGATGCTGGAACAGGTTGCCCAGGGAGGTTGTGGATGCCCCAACCCTGGCAGTGTTCAAGGCCAGGCTGGATAAGCCCTTGAGCAACCTGGTCTAGTGAGAGCTGTCCCTGCCCATGGCAGGGGGAGTTGGGACTAGATGATCTTTAAGGTCCATTCTAACTCCTTAACATTCTCTAATTCTATGACCCTATGTGGGCAGAGCAGTGTCCCACTGGGACGGGGCACTTGCAAATCCCTGCTCAGTTTAATGTTTGTTCAGAACCTTGATTCCTCTCTGCCTGGGAAGGGAACTGCTCACAACACCTCCACCCTGTTAGCTAATTCTTTTGCCCTGCTCAGTGACAGTTTTCTCAGGCAGAGCTGCCGTGCAGGCGGGGTTTCTCCAACTTGTGCTGGGACTGAGAAGTAGCTGCGACCGTGGCTTCATCTTCATCATCTTCGAAGATGGTGAGAGAGCAGGTGAAGGTGGCTGCTCTGACGGTGACTGTCACAAGGTCACCCCCCGGAGTGGCTGTACGAAGCCAAGGGCAATCGGTCATGTCGTGTGAGGAGGGAGGAGCCAGGTGCTGCCAGGTGTGCCAGGTGGTGCCAGGTGAGCCTGCCTGCCTGGCCAGCTGCCTGTGGCTCTTAGGCAGCAACCTCATCGTATTCTTGATGTAGTTCAGTGCAGCTGTAAAGGATTTGTTGTGGTGGGATGGTAGAGTAGAGGGAAAGAGACAGGACACAGTGGGTTGTTCTCCAGAGAGATTTCCTCCCAGGGCTCGGAGTGGCACCCAATACCAGTGCCTGGGTTGAAGCAACGGGACTGTGTGTGAGCAAGGTGGGCAAATACAGTAAAACATCTGAGGCAACAAAACATCTGTGCCACAGCAGCAGCCTCAGAGGAAACGGTTCCTGCTCCCAGGCTGGAGAGGCACTGTGGGACACAGTGGGCTGCTGGCAGGCAGGGCAAGCAGAGCGAGGGTAGAGGGAAGAAGCATCAGTGCTTTTGCCTTGTCTTTTCCACATCTGAAACACCACCAGTGTTGTGTTTGAAAGCCAAAGCCCGGGACTCATGGCTTCTACTCAACCTCCACCTCCTGCCTCTTGTTTTGCAGTGCGGTCACAGGCCTTGGGTGAGGGTTTGTGTGCTTCGTGCTGCACCTCATGCACCCACCTATGTTGAGGGTTGTGCAGGTGAATTTGGTGTGGGGGACACTCCTGGGCTTGGAGACAGGGCTGGTCACTCCCTGTATTCAAAATCATTTACAGCCAGATGGTCATTTTAATTTTAGGTCACTTTTGGGTGTGGGTTGTAGAGGGGCCATTGCTCCAGACCCTGACCTGGGTCTTCCCAGGCTCTATGCATTGTTGTGGGTAACAGCATGACTCAGGTGGGCTCTGTCTCTCATTGGTTCCTTTCTCACAGGAAGGAGAGTAGTCTTCATGGGTGATGACACATGGGAAGGACTCTTCCCGAAGAAGTTCTTCCGCTCGTATTTCTTCCCTTCTTTTAACGTGAAGGATCTTCACACTGTGGATGATGGGATCCTGCAGCATCTCTATCCAACTGGTAAAAAGCCCTTTCCCCAGGCCCTGGATAACCCTTGACATTATGTGGGAGTTCTACTTCAAGTTTGGGGTAGGACTGAAAGATTTTTTCTGTTACGTTGTGGCACTGAGCAGTGACAAATTACTGCCCAAGGATTACAGTGCTCTCGCTGGATTTCCATGGATAAGCCAGCTCTTGGAGCCCCTAGACTATTTCTTTAAATACCTTTCCACCATTTGGGAGGGAGTTCAGCTTCTTGGATGAGATTAGGCTTCTACATCTCTCGTAGAAACACACTGGCAGGATGGAGCAAGAGGAGCAGCTAAATTTTGACATGGGGCTGCCCAGGAAGACACACAATGCTCTGGGAAATAGACAAGTCAGGAGGCTGGGACGCAGCACTGCTCTCAGCATAGCTTGAGTGCCTCCTGATCATGGGAAGAAGGTGAAGTGTGAGATTAGTTTGTGAATTTTAAATGATTTCCAACTCTTTGAGCTCCTGGGACTGAGGGAAATCCTCTTCCCTTTTCTGAGTTTGACTTTGAATCAAGGGTGCAGTGGCCTTTCACAGGGAAGTCCTTGTGCCTTGTGGCAGAGCTGCTCTTCATCGACTCCAAATATGTTGGTTTCCATGTGTCAATGCCCTGAAGCAGAGGGGAGAGGCTGGGGAAACCTTCTAGCCAGGGGCAGTGTTGGTGTGTCAGGTGGGTGCAGAGGGGCACACTGATGGGTCCGGACCTGAAGTATCTCCAGGGGAGGATGGGGGTTTCTTCTCCGGATGATCCCCTTGGTTTAGCTCAGTTTGTGCCAGCTTGATTTAAGGATGTTTCGAGATGGCTTTGGTGACACTGGGCCTTTCCCACCCTGAGCGGTGGTGAGGAAAAACCAGGGACACTGGCTTTGATGTCCCTGTGCCATTACACCCAGGCACTTGCAGCCAAGAGTGTGCCTCAGTTAAAACCTGCACCGATCTGCTTGAGAGCTGGCAGTGACAGTGGCAGGAGAGGAAGAAACAGCAGTGTCCAGAGGCAGTCAGAGAGCTCTGGCAGGAGGGTCCAGGTGTGTAGAATCCCAGGCTGGTGTGTGATAAGGCTGCTTTTGTTCCACAGTGGATAGTGGAGAATGGGACATGCTGATTGCTCACTTCCTTGGCGTGGACCACTGTGGGCACAAACACGGACCCGACCACCCCGAGATGGCCAAGAAGCTCACCCAGATGAATGAGATGCTCAGGTGATTAATGCAGTGGGGATGGGTTGAGTGAGTGTTCCCAGGGAGATGCAGAGGACAACAGGGGATGCTTACTGACCCTGTTAACATGCAAAACAGCTTTGGCCAGCAGCAGCTGGAAGCCCAGCTATGGGCAGTCTCTTTGAGTAGGTGCATGTTGATGAGAGGTTTGGTTTCAGAGGTAAGGCTGCCTGTCGGAGCCTTGGTTCTCTACCAAACCATCAGGTGACAGTGCAGCTGGAATACAGCTGAGCCTCAGTCTTCCCATCCTTAAACATGGAAGTTACGGCTACTTGAGCAAACACGAGGTTTAGTAATGTTTGAGAAGCACATGGAGGACCCTGGTTGGGGATTGCTGCATTTACCACACAGGCCCATGAGTTGCACCTTTGTGTGCAATTGGGATCCAGAAATCTGGGATCCAGAAATCTCAGTCATGCAGATATGTCTCAGCCCAAAACGCTGCAGCTTGTCACTCTTGGGACTGCTTTAAGTTCTGCTGCTACAAGATGTGACTTACTCTGCTGTATCTGAGAGCACAGTGTATATCCACCACCTACTGCATCCTTCTAATCCCCTCTCTTGTTCTTCAAAGTGGGAGGTGGCTCACATAACACCCAAACAGAAGCAGCCTAAAATTTTGTTCCTGTTGGGAACCTGTCCTCTGAATTGCATTTTGTCAAGATCTGTGAAGGCACTGTTTGCTGGGAATCCAAGGAATATTAGTCCACTCTGTCTCAGGGCTCTGAATTTTCAGTTTGGCTTTAGAGCACCCATTTAAAGCATCATGGTCCTCGGCTCAGGTGTTGCAGCTCTTCATAAGCACCTAGTTTTGTTCATACCCATTTGTGGGCTTCACCTCTGTGCTGCAGGCAGGCTTGGTGGGGACAGCTATGTCGGAGGATGCAGCAAGACTGCAATGCCTGGCAGCATGGAAAAGAATGTAAATAAGAGGTGAACATCCAATCATATGTGAAGGCTAGCGGTAAATATAGATAATAGAGCTAAGAATAGCGTTAGTATGTAAGATTCTACAGGAGACGGTGTGTGAGTGCAGCTGTGTGAAGAACAAGATGTAATATTCTAGATGAAGCAATAAAGCTGAATTTAGGCCATCATCATAGAATGCCCAGTTTTATTTACTTGGTCGTCCTCACAAACAACGACGCACCTAGGCTGGTTGGGCTCCTGCCCAGGGAGGACTTGACCTTCCTTATCCTGGTGACAGGTCCTTGGTGGATCACCTGGGGAATGACACCCTTCTTCTGGTGGCTGGGGACCATGGCATGACAGAGACTGGAGACCACGGTGGCGACAGCGAGAAGGAAGTAAATGCAGCACTGTTTGTGTACAGCAGGACACCCCTGTTTGGCAGTAGCCCTCCAGAGGTGAGAAGAAGCTGACCCTTGGTATCTGGGGTGAAAACTGCATGCTGGGTTTACAGAGAGTGACAGTTTGATTGGGATCATTTCGATTGAGAGGAACGGGGGAGTCTCTCACCTTGTCTTGAGAGAATAGCTGATGCAGGATCCAGGGGACCAAAGGGTTTGGCACCCATGTTCAGGCCCTCCAGCTCTGAGGGATGCTTGTTTAGGGCTGTACCCATCAACATGCAGCTTTCAGCAGGTATCCTTTACTCCACAGGACCCTCGGGGAGGGCAGAGCTGTGCCTTTGCCTGGATTCACCTTTGAATGGGGATGTCTTCCCCATCGTCCTCTGACACGAGTGAAATGATGCACTGCTCTGTTCTTTCTGAATTTGCAATTCCTCTCCTGTCTCTCCAGGAGCCTGAGACCATTCCCCAGGTGAACCTGGTGCCCACTGTGGCCCTGCTGCTGGGTGTGCCCATCCCCTACAGCAACATTGGGGAGGTGATGGCCGAGCTGTTCTCTGGGGACGGTGACACTGTGTCTGCAGCCTTGCAGCAGCTCTCGGTCTATCACATCAACGCCAAGCAGGTACGGCCTATGGCAGGATCCCCACTGAACTGGAGGGGAGAAGGAATGGCTTTTTAAGCACAAACATCTTCTGTTTTGTGGAGATGGGGTAGTGACATGCTGTTACCTTCAAAGGGCACCAGTTTTGAGGTGTTACCTCCTTGCAGTGTTTGCTCCATTAAAAGGGCAGCACCATTTTCCCCACATTAAAATGAAAGATACATTAGAGCTGCGGTGCAGAAAATACTGCCTGGGAAGGTAGCATTCCTTTCAGGATGAGAGTTGGCCCCAGATTGTCAGGTGGATTTGGAAATGGGGGATGCCAGTTCCTCAAGGCTGAAGATGACCAGGGGCAAGTCTTGTGAATGGAGATTCAAGAGTAAAATTGGGGTTTTGATGCTGCTTCAGTTTTGGAGGAGAAAAAGTGTTAACTAGAAAGCTATTCTAGATCAGTGACAGAAGGAGAACAGTAATGAAGGACTAAATAAATACTATGTAACAGGTGACAGTAAAGTGGGTCACAGAAGGAGCAGTTTACACCGAGCACAAAATACAGAACCCCAAGATCTGAATTACAAAATTTGAATCAAAGTGAAGGGAGAAATAAAAGAAGCCCAGGAAATGGAGCAGGCCAAGTCAGAGCCTCTGTGGAGGATGTGAGGGCTGTCTCTTAGGGCTCTGGTCATGCTACAGAGCCAGATTTGCCATAGGCATTGCAAGGCATTTGTCTCAGCCTAGGGCCAGTCTGCCTTTGAGGGTCCTTGGATTGCTAGGAGCACAGGAATAACTCCTCCAGTGCCCAGCCAGCTCCTTGGAGTGCCAGTTGTATAGCAGTGGTACAAACCAGTGAGGAGCTGGAGAGAATACAACTGCTGATGGAAAGATGGAAATGTTCAGCCTCTCAGCTCTGTATTTGTAGAGCAGCAGAGTGCTTTGTCATTTAAAGATGATACTGTATGTTCATGCTCATTAGTCACTGAGGATATCAATCATCATCTGTTAGGAATCAGCATTATCCAGTCCTGCCTGTTTAAATATTTGCACTCGTTTGTCTGAGGAGGTTTCTGTCTCAGTCATGTTGGTGTTGAAGGCGTTCTGGCATTCCACGGGGGGGTTGTGCAGGCCTGTAAGAGAGCTGGTGCACACGTCTGCCGTTTGTGGGCAGGGCAGACTGATCCTGCCTCTGCTCTGAGGTGGCTGGAAGGTGTGTGGAGTTACAGGTATGTTTCAGGGCTTGAGCAGATCTACACTGCTGAGCGGCTGGATGTATGTGCAGGTGCCCTGCCCTGCCAATCCCCCTGTAAGACTTCTTTTATGACTCTCGAAGTAGGAAGCAAGAAGCCTACAGTGCGGTTGTTTAATGTGCCTCCATTGAAGAAGGGGAAGCAGTTAGGTCTGATCCACTAAAGGCTTTTTAATTTGATGTTTGTCTTCAGACAAAACCGTAAAATTCGACATCAGGTGCAGATTAAGAGCCAGTAATGATCTGAGCTTCTGGAGCACGTTTGCCTTATTGCTGCCAAAGACTGTATAAAAGCCCTTAGTGATGCCCAGTGTCAGCAGAGGTGCAGCTGCAGGTGAAGACCTGAGTGGAGTCAGTGTGGCTGTCAGGATGGCAGAGGGGTTGTGTTTCCTGCCAGTGACATCCTGAATTTGTGTGACCAGCCCAGGATGATGTGGCTGGGGAAGGGTCTGCCCTGGCAGGGGTTGGTACATTAGGGCTGTTTCCATTCTGAAGGGGCTGTGTGAGGCCATGAATCCTGTTCCCAGTGGTCCAAGTCCTGCTGTCTGATCCTGTGTCCCCTCTCCCGCAGGTGGATCGCTTCCTGCACTCCTACTCACTGGTGGCTCAGGACCTGCCAGCAGAGCAGCTCCAGCACCTGCGGGAGCTTTTCTCCAGCACCGTGGAGGAGCACACTCAGCTCTTGGCCCAGGTGCAGGGAACAACGCTGGTGCCTCCGGAGCTGGAGTCCAGGCTGGGAAGCCTCATCGGTCGCTTCCAGCTCTACCTGCGGGAGGCGCGGGCCGTGTGCACCCAGTCCTGGGCCCGCTTCCATCCCCTGCGTATGGTGGGGGGCTGCATCCTTGTTGCAGCTTCCTGCTTGCTCTGCTACATGGCCTCAGAGCTGCCCACATCCTCGGACTCCTTCTGTCGCCGCTGCCTCCTGTACCCGCTGCTCTGGGGCCTCGTGGGGGCTGCTCTGCTTGGGCTGGCCCACATTTTCACCCAGGAGGGGCTGGACCTTCTCCTGGTGTCATCATGGGCAGCTGCTGCTTCTCAGATGGGATTTTTCTGGCACTGGTGGGGCCAGCATCCCAAGAGAGCCCGTTTGATGGGCAGTCAGCCACCCTTGGCCAGCAGTGGCCTGAGGCAGAAGCTACGAGCTTGGCTGGGGCTGGCATTCCCCATGGGCATCCTGTTCTTCCGCTGTGGAGCCATGTTCTCAGACAGCTTTGTTGTGGCTGAGGCGAGGGTGGCCCCTTTCCTGCTGGCCTCACTGGTCATGTTGCTGGTTGGGAAGCTCCACTGGGACGGTCGCCTGACTGTGCCAGAAAGCCCCAAGCAGCAGCTCCTTGGCTTTTCCTCTTACCGGAAAGAGATCTGGTACCTGCTGTGCCTCGTGGCCGTGTTCCTGGTCTGCGTCCGCCTCTCCGGCTTCTTCCACCAGTGCCGTGAAGAAATTCCTCAGTGCCGGCCCTCTCTTTTCCTCTCCCCCCTTGCCAGCCTGAGAAACACACGGGCCAAGAATCTCTTCTACCTCCTGTGCGTGGCCTTGCTGGCCGGGCTGGTGTATGCAGTGCGGAGCTGGCTGCGGCACTACGGCAACCTGAACAGCTCGAACCCCCTCGTGCTCTTTGTGCGCTGGGGCTTCCCACTGGTGGTGCTCTGCATTGCCTGCTACTGGGCTGTGGCCTCCAGCACTGACGACTCCCTGGGCAAGCTGCAGGAGCTGGTGCAGGTGGCAGTTGTTGCCTTTCCGTGGGCTGTCTATGGACTGGCGTCTGTGGGACTGCTGCTCCTGCTGTGCAATCCCATGACGGTGTTTGCGAAGGACACGCGGGAGTTGGCAGGATCCATCGTCACTCCCTACCTGGGGGTTCCCAGCTCCGAAGTCGACTTTCTCCACGTCATCCCTCAGATCTACAAGAGGATGCAGGAGTCCCAGAAGAGCCGTCTGGAGCGGGGCAGCTGCAGGGCCACGGTCGCGGCGTACGGGCTGGGCAGCGTGTACTCAGCAGCCCTGGTCATAGCCCTCACCCTCCTGGGCTTCCTCCTGATGCTCCTGCACAGCGAGCGCCTGAGCTTCGCCTTCCTGCTGCTCTTCGTGGAGGCCTTTGTGCTGCTGCACATCCACACGTGTGCCAGAGGCCTTGCTGGAGATGCTGGTGAGTCAGTAGAGCAACCTCTGGGTGTGTGGCCTGGTCCTCGCCTTGCCTTAATTCCAGTGGGAGAGGAAGGGCCCAGTCTCTGCTCTTGGGGAATGGTGGTGCACTGATCCTCATGGGATACACCTAGCCTTTTTAAAGCTGCATAAATCCTCTAGTAGAAGAAAGATGCATGCAGCAAGGACATGTACATGGGAAGAATCGGGAAGAAGTTCTACACCCATTTCTTCTGCCCAGAGTGTGAGCAATCACCAAATCTGTTGTTACTGACAGAGCCCAGTAGCAGGGTGGGCAGCAGAGCGAATGCTGGCCCCTTGCTGCATCTGTGATGGGATCTGGGCTAGTTCCTGTCACTAAAGAGCCAGCATGGAAGGGGAACCTGGAAGAAAGGTCACTAGGCTTTTTTTTATCATGGATCTGTCTTGTTCCTTGATGCTGATATCCACCCCCCACCTCTTTTTTTATCTTTTTTGTCCCTTAGAGCCTTTCTCAGTGCCCTGGTATGCAGTCATCTCCTGGCTCCTTGCTGCTTCCCAGTTCTTCTATTCCACTGGCCACCAGCCCATCTTCCCAGCCATCCACTGGAATGCAGCCTTTGTCGGCTTCCACCTTGACCACAGCACAAACCTCCTGCCTGCTGTCTTGGTGGGCGCCAACACCTTTGCCTCCCATATCCTCTTTGCAGGTAAATCAGTTTCTCCCTGGCTGTGGTGCCTGAGCAGACACAGCTCATTGCTGTGCCTTGCCTGGGGGTATGGAAGCTGAGCACAAGGCAATGAAGGCTCGGGCACCAGCTGAGCAGCAGCATCCTCACTGTCCCCTTCTGCCTGTGGCCTGCAGCTTGGCCTGGATATCTGCTTCCTTCATGTCCAGGGCATGATGGCAGAGCCTAGACTGCTCCTCACCTCCTGGGCTCCAGTAACTTCATGTGCCTTTGTCCTTGAGGTAGTTGGCTGCCCCCTGCTCCTGTTGTGGCCCTTTGTGTGTGAGATGCCCAGCTCACAGAGGAAGAAGCCCAAGAAGGAGTCACAGGAGGAGCTGCGGGAGGTGGAGGAGCGCATGATGGAGATGAGGCTGCGGGAGTCTCCAGAGAAGTTCTCCACTGCTCTATTGCAGCTGGGGCTGAAGTACCTCTTTGTGCTTGGGACACAGGTACGGACAGAGGCAGGGTGGCTGTGGGAGAGGCTGTCTAGGAAGTAATTGGTGTGCTATGAGGACTGTGGGTCACTGATGAGAGAAAGGGGTCAGCCAGGACACAGACAAGTGCAGGGGTGATATGTCTGGTTGCAGATGGAAGAACAGGTCCCTTCTCAGCTATGCTATTTCCTCTGTGCTTTGGGAAGGGTTCCAGCATGGAAGCCGCTGTATGGATTAGGCTGCTTTTCATACCCATCTGCCCAGAGTGGGAACGTCTGTTCAGGAACTGCAGGGCCATAATCCTGCTCCCCCTCTTCCCAACCATCCCTATCTCACACCAGCTCTGGTTTTCATATGTGGTGATATTGGGAGCTAAATACTAGAAAATTAATCCTGTGAAAGGAGCAAATAGCTTTCTGGGGTTTATCCTTTCAGATCACTTTCTTGTGTGGTCAGACCAGAGGCAGTGCAAGGGAGGGGGCAGGCCCTGCAGCAGGAGAGCAGGAATTCTCCTCTCAGTGAAACAGCAGGTTAGGCACGGTGTGAGTCCTCTGTGCTGCCCCAGCCTGGTCCCATGAGGGCCTGCCTGTACCCCAAGCTGCTCATGTTTCCTGATTTGAGGATATAGAAGGGAGTCCTGTTTGGGATGCTCATAACTGGTGTGCACTGCACCAGCCTCTCAGGTGTGTGCAGTTTAGTACCATCTTCAGATGTGAGACTAGTGCCCCAGGAGATCTTTCCAGAGTCACTTGTAACATGTTTTTCCTGATCTTCCTCGCAGCTTCTAGCCTGTGTTTGTGCAGCTATGATCCTCAGGAGGCACCTCATGGTCTGGAAGGTCTTTGCCCCCAAGTAAGTCCCAGGAGTTGCTCTGATGTTGGGTAAGGTTCATATCCCTGACATGAACTGGAGTTCCTAGACAGTAATGTTGGAACAGACCCTGTGATTGATGTTCTGACTTCTTACCTAGCAGAGACTTTAGGAATGTCCTTAAGTAATTCCTGCTTGAAATTCAGAAGCTGGACTTAAGGTAGAGCCTAGAAATTTCTCCTCATCTTAATTCCGAGAACCCACAGGGCCCATCTGGAAGCTAAGAATATTCAGCTCAGAGAGCCAAAGGGAGGGACCAGACTAGATGTGGTAAATCCAGAAATGCTGAACTAGCAAACCTTTGGAACAGTAGATGTGGGAGGTGGCCTCAGCCTCTGAGGGATTCAAAATCCCACCTGAGTCGGGTCCTGAGCCACCTCTAAAACAGGGGCATGCTTGTCTTCCAGGCTACAGGCATCAACTGCCAGGGAGCAAATGTAATTCAGGTTGCAGGTTGTGGGGCGCTACCAGCTACTCACTGTCAGGAAAACCACTGTGCTGGGAGCGATGGGAGCAGCCTGTGTTTGCTGGCATGCTGGCTGTGACCTCCTTAACTGCCTCTTTTGCGCCTGCAGGTTCCTCTTCGAGTCGCTGGGCTTTGTGGTGAGCAGCATCTGCCTCTTGCTGGGGATCTCCCTGGTGATGCGTGTGGACTGCGCCGTCAGCGCCTGGTTCAGCCAGCTCCGGCTCAGGTAGCGCCGGAGACACGGGGATCCTGACCTGCTCGTCGGCCCAGGCTGTGGTTGTCCCCTTGCCTCCCTCGGGCTGGGAGGGGTACACGAGCCGCCAGCAATGAGTGCCTACCGGCAGCAGTCAGGGATTATCCCCTGCTCCCTGCCTCTGCGCTGTAGAAAAGGACCGGAGTCAACTGTTCCTCGCTCACGGCGGGGGTGTTTCTCAGCAGGGGAGGTCAGAGCTCTTGCTGGGCCTTTGCTGGCAGCAGGAGGACTCTGCTGTGGGAGCCCAAGGCACAAAGCGTCCTGGAGCGCTCCTCTGGAGAAACACCAATGGGGATCTTGCTGCTGCTTTCCTGACAACTGTCTCCACTGTACAGCTGGAAGGCTTCAGTGGGCAGCAGGATGTCATGTTGCCTGTGCAAAAACTCATGGGATCGGGCCTGCTGAGGATGGAAGAGGAGGCTGGAAGGAGAGGGAATGTCCCACAGCCACCCCTTGTTTTCACATCAAAGTGTAAGTGATTAACATGTGCAGATGGCTCCCAGGGCCTTGGTGGCAGCTGCTCCTCTGTAAAGTCAGTCAGGTGCTCTGTAGTGAGGCTTCTCAGTGTGGCCAGCAGGACGAGGGAAGTGATCCTTCCCCTGTACTCAGTGCTAGTGAGGCCACACCTGGGGTATTGTGTTCAGTTCTGAGCCCTTCAGTTCAGGAAGGACATTGAGGTGCTGGAGCAGGTCCAGAGAAGAGCAACCAGGCTGGTGAAGGGACTTGAGCACAAGTCCTATGAGGAGAGGCTGAGGGAGCTGGGATTGTTTAGTCTGGAGAAGAGGAGGCTCAGGGGTGACCTCAGCACTCTCTACAACTCCCTGAAAGGAGGATCAAGCCAGGTGGGGGTCGGTCTCTTCTCCCAGGTAATCAGCAGTAGGACAAGAGGGCACGGGCTGAAGCTGTGCCAGGGGAGGTTTAGGTTGGATTTTAGAAAGAAGTTCTTTACAGAGAGAGTGATCAGGCATTGGAATGGCCTGCCCAGAGAGGTGGTGGATTCACCATCCCTGGAGGTTTTCAAGATGAGGCTGGATGTGGCACTGAGTGCCATGATCTGGTAATCACATTGGGGTTGGATCAAGGGTTGGACTTGATGATCTCTTCCAACCCAGTTAATTCTACGATTCTCCTGCCCTACACTCACTCCTATTTTCCTGGTGCTCCATGGATGGTGGAGAGCACTCTGGGCTGCCTTGTACAGCCTGAGGAGGGCTTATGTTGGGGCAATGGTAGCAGGGAGAACTGTGTCCCTGACCAAGAAACTCTCCACTCATGTTCTCAGCCTGTCAGGGTTCCCATGGGCAGGTAAGGCTCCTCATCTTTTCCTAAGTCTGTGCTGCTGAATGCTGGCTGTTGATTGTGAATGGTTAAGATGGAGAGGATGTAGTGACAGGGTGGGCTCATCCCAATATTGGGCCTGGCCAGGAGGAAAGAGGAGCCCAGAGTAGCTGTCCCAGCTGCAGGAGTGGCCGTGGTGTGAGCTCCAGTGCCTGGGAACAGCTGCTTGAAAGCCCTGAGCAGGCACCATTTCTTGTAGGAGGTGGTTTAATTCACTGGTGTCTGTGTATGTGCTTGGGGTTATGGGCCCCAGGCACTGCAGCCAGTTGCATCCATCATCCTGTGTTTGGTACTTCTCTCCCTCTTGGCCTTGGCATTCTGTGTGGGACTTCATGCCACAAGTGAGCTACCCCAAACTGCCCTTGGCTGCACAGTGTTTCTTTCTTTATGGGCACAGGTGGAGGACAGTGACCATGGTGACTGGCCACATCCCAGCCAAGTTCCTCCTGCAGTTTTCCTTGGAGATGGGATTCCTTACTGCCCTGAACCACTGTGTGGCATTACTTGATGCTATGAAACCTTTTGTCTCTTTCCCCACTGGAAGGAGCTGAGGGCTGCTTGTCTGGGATTTTTGCATTGGTGTTTGTCTGATGCCGTTAATTTTTAACTCATGCACCATGACTGCCCCTGTTTCAGTTCCTTACTGCAGACTGTTAGTGTAACTCCAGGCTCTTCCTCTCCTCTGCCCTGGAGAGTCCCAGGGAAAGTGTCTTGTCACCACTCTCATAATTTGAGTTCTTGCCATTTTTCCCAAGTGCCCAGTTGCTGTGGAAAACAGCTCTTGAGGGCAGGTTGAGTTTTGTATTTTACCCATGCAAAATGCCTGCTCGGTTGTTGGGGTACAATTCCAACCAGGCTTAAACGGCTCTAATTTTGGGTTTCCATTGCCTAGCCTGCTCCTGAGCTGCTGCCTGTGCTCTCCTGTGTCAGCCTCTCCTCTGCCCTGCTCTGTGGGCCTGTCCTGCTCAGTTTCACCTGACTGAGCCAGGGACTGGTTTGTAGCTGGCATCGCTCCCTGGGCTGCCTCACTGCCTGGATGCGCGACACTGGAACTAGGAACAGGCAAGGGTTAGCAGCGTAGCGGGGGAAGCTGGAAGCTGCAGAAACACATCAGCCCACAGTTAGATGGGTTTAGGCAGTCCCACCCTCAAAAGTAGGTTGTTTGCTGTAAACTGTGACTCCTCGGCCATATGCTCTCTGTGCTGAGGGGCGAGGGGTACACATCCAAATGCAGAGGAGGAAGGGGGTGGACGTAGCAGCTACCCAGTGAATTTTCATTTAGTATGAGTTTAGTCTGGATAACATGTTGGTAAACTCCAAGGCTGGAGCCCAAATAGGTCATCTTGTGAGCTCGTAACCTGGTCAGGAGCTTGCTGCCCTGAGTGTATTTGTGCTGGTAGGAATCTTTGTGGTCACTGATAGTGTAGAACTGGCCCCTGACGTCTCTGCTGCTGCCACCCAGGCCCCTGGGCTTCCATCTCTGGGACTAGTTCCTCTTTCACTGGCCACTCCAAGGCAGCTGAGCCTTCCCATGCCCGTTGTTCATGGCTGGAACACTCGCAGGGTGCTTGGGCGTCCTCTCTCACCCCTCCGTGTCACCTCTCTGCTGTGGCTGTGGGCTCACATTCCTGGGAGACCAGGGAGAGCAGGGGGAGCAGCAGTGCTGTAGCATCATCGAAGCACACACACTTATCTTGCCAGAGACTAAACAAAACTTGCAGTAACAGAGCTGCAGGTACATTCCTGTCACTGCAGAGATGCCACGGAGTGCTTGCTGCTTGGCCACGACAAGACTGGCTGCTACACCAAAGATTTCAGATTCACGAAGACGAGTTTTCCAAGGGCTGGAGATGCTCTTGCTTCCCTTCATTGACTCTTTCAGTCTTTGTCAGCCTTTCCTAGCTGCCCTCGAGCTGATGGATGGTCTGCCATTCTCTTGAACCTGCGGGGGATTACAGAGTTAATGCGGGTCCAGGGCTTGGCGACCTTGGAAGCAGAACGTGCTGCTGATGCTCGAGCAGACAGGGCTGATGTAAAATCACAAGAGGAAGCTGCCTGCTGGTCCAAACCAGGGCTCTTTGGGAAACCTGGCATGCTGGGGAGTAGGCTGTGCCCCACATCCCTCCAAAGAGGTTGTCACAGGAGCCTGCTCGTCTCTTCTAGAGAAGTTATTCCAAGTGGTTTGTTTCTGGTCCCTATGTGCTTTGGCTGAACATGACAGGGGACAAAAGTGCTCAGGGGAGCGATTTCCATCCTGCACTCCGCAATCCTGCTGCACTTTGGGCTTTGCATGTGTTGTGCATGTGTTCCTTGGCAGGGGAGAGCTCCATTGGGACACTTCCCTTGGCTCAGGCCCTTGGTGGACAGTGTGTCCCATGGTCCTGGCACAAGGAAGCGATTGAATTGTGTCTCTTTTGTGCTGCTTGGAAAAGAGTGACTGAAAGCTGCTACCGCTGTGAAGAGCTGTGGGTGTTGGGAGCATCTCACTGCTCTGATCCGTGGGGCTGACATGGATCCCAAGGGATGGCACTGCTTTGGGGGGGCCAGGGCTCTGTTCCCACACCCATTCCTCTGTCCCATCTCTCTCTGTTCTTCCCTCGATGCTTCAGGCTGCTTTTTTATGCCAAGGCACAGTCCCAGTCTCAGTGTGCATCTTCCCTCTTCCCCTTGGGAAGCAGCAGTGCCAGTGAGTGGGGAGCAGGGCTTGGAGGGTGCTACTCTCTCCTCTGAACCCCAACTCAACACGTAACATGGCTTGGAGCAAGATTGTTTTATTTTTTATTAACCTCTGTGTGCCTCAGTCCCTCATTTGGGGAAAAAGAAAAAAAAAAAAGGGGATGGACCCAGTTGTGGAAAGCACCCTGGGAGCTCTGCATGCAGCGTGGTGCTACACTTTCCTGGGTATCTACACATCTGCCTGTCAACACTTTCATTCACATCCAGCAGCTACACCTGGAAGGTGGAAGCGATGCTTGAGTCTCTGCTGGGAGGCAGAGCCTTTTTTCTGCCAAAAACCCATCCAAAACAGGCCAGTTTTGGGTAGCGCTTGTTCGCCCGGCAGCCACAGCCCTCGGGATGGGTGTCCCACGTCCAGAAGTGCTGGATGCGGCCCCACCGACCGTGGGGGGCACCCAGGGAAGGGTCACTCCGTTGTTAAATTATTTAATGAATTAATTAAGCAGGGAGTTCGGGACGTGTGCGTGGAGATTTGCTGTGCGAGGGTGGCACGGGGCTCTGCGTGGCTGTGAAACTGATGATGTCTGCAAATAAAACCATGAGAGCCAAGGTGGGCGGCGGTGTCGTCTTCTCCTTCCATCCCTCTTCCCAGTGCACGACCCTCCAGGACCTGTCCCAGGTCTCCTTCGCAGTGACCCTTAACGCAGTCTGCATCGTCCTCGTGAGCGGGAGTGGAAGGGAAGGCGCTGATGTCTCTGATGATCAGTGACAGGAACTGTGGGAAGCTGACACTGAAGGTGTGTCAGGGGAGCTTTCGGTTGGACATTACGGAATCACAGAATATCCCGAGGTTGGAAGGTACCCACAAGGGTCATAGAGTCCAACCCCTCGGGATTCCCCAAGAATCAGCCTTTTCCTAAGGGTTTGCTGAGGGGGAGGTTTAGGTTGGGTATCGGGAAAAGGTTCTTCACCGAGAGAGTGGCTGGGCACTGAACAGGCTCCCCAGGGAAGTGGTCACAGCACCAAGCCTGACAGAGTTCCAGAAGCGTTTGGATAACACCCTCAGACACGCGATGCGGTCCTTGGGGTGTCGTGCGCAGGCCCAAGAGTTGGGAGTCCAGGATTCTTGTGGGTCCCTTCCAAATCGGGATATTGCTATGCCTGCGACCGGCGGCTTCGCCTTGGCACCACGTTTGTCCCTCCGCGGCCGCCGCCTCCCCGGCGGGACGCCCGCTTCGCGTTGCCATGGTGACGGCGGGAAGGGCGCGAAAGCGGCCGGCCATGGCGGCGGCCGTGAAGCGGCGGCGCGGGGAGGCCCCGGGGCCGGGGCGGGACACGGAGCGGGAGCGGGACACGGAGCAGGAGCGGGGCTGCCTGCAGTTCTGGGCCGCCCAAAGCTGCGCGCTGGCCGAGCGCTGGACGGTGCGGCATGTCCCCTTCCCTCCCTGCCCCGCTCCCCGGGCTCGCCGCCGGTGCGGGCCCCCATCCGGGCGGGCGGTGAGTGCGTCCCTTGCAGGCAGCGCGGGCCGCGGGACCCGGCGGGGCGGCGGAGGCGCGGGAGCTGCGGCGGCGGCAGCGAGACGCGTTCGGGGAGCTGCTCCTGGGCATCCGCGGTGAGTGAGGCCCTGCCCCTGCCCCTGCCCCTGCCCCTGCCCGGCCGGCGCCTCCCTCTGCTTCCCCAGGCCTTGGGGGGTGTGGGCGTGGCAGCACCGGGGCCCCCGGACACTGCTGTCTACCGGGATGCTGCTCCGGTATCCCAGTGCTGGAAACAAACTTGTGGAGCGGATGGGAGGGGTTTGAAGCGGTCCCCGCTGCCCTGTGCTGAATTGAGCCTGCAAAGGTGTTAATCGCAGGATCACGGAGTCGTCAGGGTGGAAGGGACCTCTGGAGACCACCCACTTCAAAAACCCCCCTTCCCGAGCAGGGTCACCTGGAGCAGGTGACATAGGAACGCGCCCAGGTGGGTTTGGAACGTCTCCAGAGAGGGAGACTCCATGATCTGGAGCAAGGCAGCCTGTTCCAGTGCTCTGCCACCCTCGATGTAAATAAATTGAATTTGGAACCTCTTGTGTCTTAATTTATGGCCATTGCCCCTTGGAATGCAGCTCCAGCATGCCAGCGCTGGAAGCAAAGCAGAGCGAAACAGTCCCCCTGCCCTGTACTGAACTAGGCCTGCAAAGTGGTTAATGCCCAGCCCCAACCTCCACCTGATCTTGCTGGGCAGAGCTCTGAGGTTTCTGGAAACAAAGTGAGTCAGTCTTTGCCCTGGGGAGCCAGGGAAGGAGCTCCCTGCCACGGCTGTGGTGCAGGGGAAGCCTGATGGAAAGCAGCCTCAGTTCCAGTTCTGGGCTCCTCAGTGCAAGAGAGACACGGAGCTCCTGGAGAGGGTCCAGCAGAGGGCAACAAAGATGATTAAGGGGCTGGAGTGTCTTATGAGGAAAGGCTGAGGGAGCCGGGCCTGTTCATCCTGGAGTAGAGACTGCTGAGAGGGAACCTGATCAATGTCTATGAGCATCTAAGGGAGGGTGTCAGAGGACAGAGCCAGGCTCTGCTCGGTGGTGCTGAGCAACAGGACAACACGCAATGGGCAGAAACTGATGCACAGAAAGTTTCACCTGAGAATATGAGGAAGAACTTCTTTACTGTGTGGGTGACTGAGCACTGGAACAAGTTCCCCAGAGAGGGTGTGGAGTCACCCTCACTGGAGATATTCAGGAAGCATCTGGATGCAATCCTGTGTAGGATGGACTAGCTTGAGCAGGGAAGTTGAACCAAATGAGCCATGGTGGTTTCTTCCAACCTGACCCATACTGTGAGAAGGAGAGAGACACAATGTATGAAAGGATGTGTGTGTATTGGAAGAGAGTAGGGTATTGATGTTCTTTGGAGAGAGCTGAAAGGTCTCAGTCCTGGAGGACTGCAGCACCTGGATATCTGGGGAATGGATGTATAAAGCAGTTGGCACCTGGAGTGGTGACACGTGCTGTCTCTGGGCAGTGGCCAGGTGGCCAAATCACACCACAGTCACAAATCACAATCACAAAAAATATTCTTGCTAGGCCACTTCTGCTGTCACCAAGCCAGGTGTTGTTTTCTCCCAGCCAGCTAAATTTCTTGTCGGGTTGGCTGTGCCCACAGGGCTGCCGGCTGCTCTCCCTACCCTTCCTCTGGAACTCACCGTCCTCTACAACTCCCTGCTTTTCACTGTGGGAGCATCTGACTCTGCCATCGAGGGAGAAGCCGATGGAATACGCCAGGGGCTCCTCAGGGGTAAGGAGGTGATTCTCTCTATGGGGACTCCTTGGGGCAAGGGGAGCATTCTCTGTGCTCTGGAGATGTGTGGTGAATGGCTGGAGGTGTGGGAACTGGGATCAGACCAGCCTGGCTCCATCTGGAAGGGCTGGAGGTGGGGTGGAACTGTGAGCAGAACACACCTGGCTCCACCTGGAAGGGCTGGAGATGGGTGGAACTGTGAGCAGAACATGCCTGGCTCTGCCTGGAAGAGCTGGAGATGGGGGGAGCGGTGGGCAGCCAGGCCTGGCTCCAACGGGAGGGGCTGGAGGTGAGGTGGCCTGTGGCCTGCGGCCAGGGATGATGTGCAGCTGCCTGCCTGCCTGCCTGCCTGCTGCTGCCTGCAGGGATGGGCCAAAGGTTTTAAGGGAGAGAAGAGTTTTCAAGGTGTAAGGTGCCAAGTCACTATCGAAGCTTTGGTGACAGTAGAAAATTGTTTTCTTTAATTGTGGTGTGCTGGCTTCAAAGAAAACCCACTGAAATAGGCTGCAGGTCAGAGGTGGGTCTGCAGTGTTGGCACACGCTTACCCAAAGGCAAGTGACCTCAAGAGGACTCGGCAGAGCTGGAGTGTAGCTCTGAACCATGTGTTGTCTCCTGAGTGTGCTGCTGTCAACTCCACTCTCTGAGAGCTTGGTTTCTGTGCTGCTGAGGCCAGGCCAGCCCTGCAACCCCACTCCTTCCCTTGCTGTGGGGAGTCCATGCTTACTTGAGGCTTTCTTCCCTCTCGTGGGAGGTGTCCAACTTGTCTCACGGCTGTGAACCTTTTTGCTTGTTTTTTTGTTTTTTTTTTTTCAGTTCTGGAGGCTTGTGGGGCCTGTGGACAGGATCTCAGCATGGAGGAGCTGTGGGAAAAGGTGCTGCAGGAGGTAACAGTGGAGGAGCTGCAGGCACCTCTGCACCGACTGGGGGCCTTGCAGGCAGCCTGGTGGTTGGCAGCCGGACGGCTGGGAAGCATTGCTGGCCTCTTCCAGCTCCTGAGCACTGCTGAGGTAATTGGACACGGGCAGATGCTGGCAGAGCTGGCATAAATATTGTGTTTGTCATAAAACCCACTCTGCAAAATGTTGTTGTGGCATTTGGACACCTGAAACCATCAGTGCTGCCCAGTCAGCATGAGTAATGCTCTCCCTGGCGTTCCAGCATACCCTAATGCTCCTGAGTGCATTAATGAATCCCAGAATATTCTGCCTGTTGGGGCCCTTGGACCTCTGTGTGTGAGACAGGAAATTTGGGCAGGCTGGAACGCGGCTGCAGATGGACTTGTAGACTCTGTAGGGAACACTCTGTGGGCAGTTGGATGCAGAGGAACCTTTCCTGCTGATTGAGAGTCTGCTGGGGGGGGTCCCACCTTTCTGAAGGCACTCCAACAGCACTTGGATCTGCTTGCTAGGAGCCCCTTGAGGTGCACCCCACTCTGAGGTGGGGAGGTGCTGCCCAGGCCAGGCAGGAATCAGTGCAGTGAGGGGGTTGTATCTGAAATGAGTGGGTGGTAGGACATTGCTTCCCAGTGCAATGTCAAAGGGTTTGGTGGGACCTCTCTTTCCCTGTGCTCTTGGATCAGTGTTTACTGCTTCCCTTCAGCATTCCCTGCTCTCTGTCCTCTTGCATTCACAGGACACAGGAAGAGGTCATTGCAGCAAGGGGCAGAATGAGCTCCTGTCCCTGCTGAAGGCCTGGCAAGTCCCTGCTGAGGAGGCCTCCCTGCGCCTGGTACAGAGTGCTGAGGACTTGAAGGAGATCCTCTGCACTGCAGCAGCGTTCCTGCAAGGTTTGTGTGGCAAAGGTGCTCAGCTTCCCACTGCTCTCCTGTCCCAGGACACCCTTGTCCTGTCCTTATCGTGTTTTCTCTTCCCAAGCAAACTGGCCCTTGGGGTTTTCTGGGCTGTTCCTTTAGAAGTCTGGGCTGAGCCTCTGAGTCTCAACTTTTCCATTCCATATTCTAAGAGCTTCGCTGCTTTTACCCCAGCTGATCCTTTCTCCACACTGTCACAGGGCTCTGCTGCCTGTCTGTGACTTAGCGTAGGTGTCTGGGCCCTGCAGTGATCTTAAAGCAGAAGGCTGGCAGGGGACATGTAAGGATTTTCCTTTCTTCTGTCTGTCTTCCTGCACCCGCCTCATTGCAAGCACGTTGTTCCTGTCGGATTGTGGTGCTGCAAGAGCTGCACAAAGCTGTCGTGAGGCTTTGTAGCCTGGTGTCACAGCAGGCAAAGGATCTCATCTGACTGCTGCGTTCTGTCCCACTTGTTGTTTTCTCTTCACTGTTTTGACAACCCCAGCAGCTCTGGGGGCAGCCAGTGCTGCCTCTCTGTGCTCAGGCTCAT